TGCTGCAAATTCCTGGGTGAAGGTGTTATCTTTTTTATATATAATTTATTTTTATTTTATGTTCATTGGTCTTTTGCCTGCATGTATGACTGTGTGAGGGTGTCAGAAGCCCTGGATCTAGAGTTACAGACAGCTGTGAGCTGCCATGGCCATCTCTTCCTCTTTTTAATTTTTCCCTCTACCCACTGCACTCCTTTCTCAAATACATGACCTCTTCAATTACATGCATATATGCACAAGCATAAATATAACCTTTTTAGTGTTGCTTATATGTATATGTGTTTAACACTGACAACTTGAGATCGGACCATCCATATCAAGGGGCCTATCTTTGGAGAAGATTAATTCTTTCTCTATTGGTCATTAATTGCTTGTAACTCTTTCTTTAGAGGTGAGATTTTTGTGAGGTTTCTTCTATCTACTTCAGGATGTCAACTGATGCCGTCATTATGTAGGTCTTGTTTAGATGACTATATTGTTGAGATTTCATGGGTCTGACGCTGTCATATCTAAAACACCACCTAGTCGCCAGTGTTCTGTACCTTTGACTCTATAATTTTTCTGTCCTGTCTTCTGCAATATTTGTCCCTGAGCTTTAGGTGTAGGGTGTATTGTAGATATATCAAATGGGGGTAGGCACTCCATGGCCAGTTGTTCTCTCTACATTGTGGTCAGCTATGGATTTCTGTGATGGTTTGTGTTACAAAAAGAGGCTTTTCTGATGAGGGTTAAGAACTACACTTACTGGTGAAAATAAGAAAATAGGTAAAACAATTAGAATGCAGGTGGGTAATATACTGGTTTAGGGAAGTGACAATATTAGGTTTTCTTGGGGTCCATGACCTCACCAGCCAAGGGTAGTTGGCTAGATTTTCAGCATCAGTTTTGAATCCCCTTCTATTGAATAGACCTTTAGTCAAATGGAAGTCTCTTGGTTACCCCCAAGATATAAATGCCACTATTGCACCCTTTTGTATGTCTTGCTGTGATGGTCATTGTTGTGGTTTCTAGGCCTTACAACTGGGTGGGTCTAATTACTTTTCTCCCTTTGGATAGTCCTCAGGGAGGAGGCTTTCTGATCAGTTCCAATTTGAAAGGCAGTTTCCTATGCCTGGAAGTAGAGTTTTTGTTAGCCAGTTTATGACTCTTAGAAATATATTGTCTTGTTTTAAATTTCCTGTGTAATGAGTTTTCAAAATAAGATACAATTCACCTACAATGAAATCATATCTTTTAGTACACAGTTTGTAGAGTTTTGACAAATGGATCCACTCATTTAAGCCCCACCATACTTTTCCTAAATTTTTAGTTTTGGGGAGAGTTGGGGTCTTCAGTATCCCAGACTGACATCGAACTCCTTGTGTAGCTGAGGCTGGGCTTGAATTGCTGACCATTCTGACTCCAGATCCCCAAGAGTGACAGGATTATAGACTTGCAGGTGATGCCTGGAGATTGAACCCATGACTTCATGTATACGAGGCAAACCTCCTATTGCACATAAAGAAATAAAGAAATTTTGAGAGAGGATGAATTTTCTATTGCCATTACTGCGACTGGCTTTTTACTTTTTTTTTCTTCCGTGAAACACCATTTTTACTTAAAGAAAACTGACAGGCATCTTAAGTTTCAGATTTTTTTCCACGATTGTACAATATTGTTGCTGATGATGATCCATTTTAAAATTGTGAAAATCTGTGTCTCCCACCATTGCCTTAGCTACTTTTCCTTCCCAAGGACTTTTCTAGTGGGATCTGTGGTGGTATTCACAAATGTGATTTTTGTAAAAACAAAAACAAACCTTTTTTGGTGTTGTATGACAAACTAAAGCTTAATATTACACAATCATTTAGGAACATTGATTCAAATGCAAGATACAATTAATTTGTATGAAATAGAGTGAAAGTAAAAATCTTGATACAATTTCAGATTTTCCGGTGCAATTTAACTTTTAAGAAACTATTATCGAGCCGTGGTGGCACACGCCTTTAATCCTATCACTTGGTAGGCAGAGGCAGATGGATCTCTGTGAGTTCAAGGCCAGTCGGGTTTATAAGAGCTAGTTCCAGGACAGGCTCCAAGCTACAGAGAAACCCTGTTTTTTTTTTTTTTTTGGGGGGGGGGGGAGAAATTTTCATTTGGAACTGGAGAGACTGCTCAGTGGATAAAGTACCTGCTACACAAATGTGGATGCCAGGGTGTGGATCCTAGAACCCATGTGAAAAGATGGGTGGTGCAGCCCACCGTCTGGAACCCGAGTATATCAGGGGCCAGAGATAGACAGACTCCCAGGTCTTACTGGAATATTGAGCTCCAGGCTCAACCAGAAACCCTGTCTTAATAATAAACTGTAGTAGAGGAAGAGATTGCAGCCAAAACTTCAAGTGTGTGGATGTGTGAACAGATACATACACACAAATACATGAAACAACTGCTCCTTGAATTTGATGAACTATCAGATAAAAATATGCACAGGTATATAAAAAGTATTAAGCAAACCATCTTCTCTTCCTGTGGTCTCTGTGTGTTGAATTTCTTTTTACCCTTGGAATAAAGAGCACATTGAAAGATGAAACGCAGAAGCAGATGTGAGCTCCGCTGTGTGCTCTGTCAGCACAGGATTTTCAGTAGTGTGAAACGGTGCTACTTCTCTCTCTCTGTTTTTACTGTTTGAAAAGTTTAGTTCTTTCTCAGAAAGCTGATTTATGTTAATGCGTAATGAGTATATTAATGTTTCTAAATAGACAGATAATTACTTTTAAACTCAGTTTTCAGGACAAATTTCAACAGACACAGAATATGGAATTAAAACATTTTGCTATTCCCCAAAAGCATTTTTCTTCTAAGAAGACTAAAACATAAATAGGTCTTCTAAGAGACTAAAAACGCAGAAGGTGGAAAGTTTAAGGACGCTGAGAGTGAGGACTGCACCTGTAGGCAGGGCGTGTGGCGTAGGGAAAGGAGCAGATGATTTAGCTTCATTGCACAGGTTTTACTTTCTTCTTGTAAAAGGAGAGTAATGGAGCTAGCTACTTTGTTAACTTTAAGTCATTGTTTGACTTGTCTCTAGTTTTTGTATTAAATGTTAAAAATGAATGGCACACATAGCCACCTGGAACCATCTTTTTAAAAAGAGGTGGTAGCACCCAGAGTGCCCCCCTCCCCGTAATCTCAGCACTTAGGAAATTGGAGGCACGAGGCTCATTGAGTTCAGGTTTTTTGTTGGAGCACATAGTAAGCTTGAGGCCAGGTGGTCTACACAAGATCTTGTCTTTAAAAAAAAGTGTGAAGTAATTAGATTTTTTTCTGTTTATACAGTATTCTTTTTCTTTTATTTAAACAGTTTTTAATATTTAGTGTGTGTGCGTTTGCATGTGTCACAGTTGTTTGTATGTAGGTCAAAGGACAGCTTGGAGGTGGTTTTTGCCTTCCACTGGGACCTAGAGCTTAATGACAAGTGCCTTTACCTGCAGGCCATCTTACTGACCCTGTAGAGTTGTGGTTTTTGGCGGGGGGGGGGGGGGGGGGGGAGATTTTTATGCATAAAACCTTTTCCCTTGAACTATCATGCAGATTTTCAAGTGTATACGTAAACTTAAAACTTTGAATTAGAAAAATGGCAAGATTGATTCAGAACACTTACTTGGGCACAAGACAGATGGTAATCCTATAAAAAGATGACATATATTTTTGGAAGTGCAAACAGGAAAATAGATACTCTTTAAAAAATTGTAGAGTAGTCTTTGCCTAGAAGATGCAGGAAAAAAGATTAAAAAAACATATGGCTTAATTGAACTTCTTTCTAATATCTGGGATTGGATCTTCTCCTCTTAATACTAGAATTGAGTCGCACATGCATTGATAGCATTTTTCAAATAGATATCTGCCAAGTGCTTTTCTCATCTGTGGTGTAGATGTGTGGTAGTGGTAAGCAGGACTGTTGGAACCCCAGGTTAGTTAAGTTACCTTCTCAGAATCCGCTGCTGAGTCTGCTGTCTGGGAGTTAGCTTCTACACCTGGGGCAAGACCAAGTACTCAGTGAGTTCATTCAGAGCACAGCTTCATGTTTAAAGTAGCTTGTGCTCCAAATATTTGTAAGTATTCTATTTTTATAGTATCTTTCAATAACAGTGTATGACCGTGAGACTTCTTTTGCTTTTTATTAAGATGATGTAGCTATTCCTGATAGGTTGACTAGTCTGAGTGGTTTCATTGAGCATGAATTCAGATTCTGTGTACACACAGCCACCTGCTCTCTGTGGTTAAAGTTGAACACTTCTCAGATTCTTTCCTTCCCTCAGCTCCCACCTGTGTTACCAGTGTGCTCCAGATAACTTTGTATTCTATCATTCAACATATCCGTCTCTTCTCCTGCCTTACTTCATAACTAACATTCATGCTATTGCACTGTGTTGTGTGTGTGGTCACTACTAACGCACTGTAGTTGTGTGTTAGTAAATCAGAGTAAGTTAGAGCTGTGCTCTGCTAATCAACCGAGTTGCACCAAGCTGTGGGTGGAAAGGTTATAGCATTTCTTCCTGAAACATACATTCTTCTTCTAGTCGGGCAGTGCCCCTGTGATGGCCAAGAGCTGTGCCTTCAGGAGTATGAAGGGCCATGGAAAAGGCGTGTCTCACAATTTATGTGCACGTGTTTGAAGTGTGGACTTGTTCTTCCACGGCATTAGCAGTGCCCTCACTGTGACTTGCTCCCTCAGCCTGGTGCATGGGCAGTGGATGAGCCTGGTCAGATAGAAAAAACCTAGTCCTGACCTGTATAATAAGCAAAACAACAACAACAACAACAACAAAACATGGGGTAAATTAAGGGCCCAGTATTTCCCTGATATCCAGTATCTAGCAGGCAGTTATCCAAATCTTCAGGATGAAATTTCAAAGAATAGATTTGGGCACATTTGTTTTGAAGCTTAAAAAAAATTGTTTATGTTTTATTTGAAAACTACAATGTTTAATTTTTTTAACTTTTTTTTCTTTGTTTTTCAGAAAATAGCTCCAGAGGTTAAATGAAACTGGGCAGAGTTCATCCATGAGGCTTCATAGTTCCTGCCAATGTTTGGGGATAGCTGCTCCAGAGAGAAATTGACCCGTTAGGATTAGGTAGCTAGTCACAATGAAGAAAATTAGTCTGAAAACCTTCCGGAAATCTTTCAACCTGAGTAAAAGCAAAGACGAAACCGAGTTCATGGTGGTTCAGCCCCAGACCCTCGCTGGCGACTTTGTGAAAGATGACTCTTTATTTGGGAGCTGCTATGGCAAGGACATGGCCAGCTGCGACATTGGCGGTGAGGATGAGAAAGGGAAGAACAGGTCCAAAAGCGAGAGCCTGATGGGCACCTTGAAGAGGCGGCTGTCTGCCAAGCAGAAGGGCAAGGGCAAGGGCGGCACTGCGCCCACAGATGAGGATACCTTTTCCTCTGCTTCAGCGCCTGGTGGCCTCAAGGATGTGCGTGCCCCACGGCCCATCCGTTCCACATCACTGCGCAGTCACCACTACAGCCCCACACCCTGGCCGCTGAGGCCCACCAGCTCAGAGGAAACATGCATCAAGATGGAGATGCGGGTGAAGGCACTGGTGCATGCTGCCAGCCCTGGCCCAGTCAATGGTGTGCGCAAGGAGCTGCGGGAGTTGCAGCCCAAAGAGCTGCGGGACCTGCAACCTAGGGAGCTGCTGCAGTCCAGGGAGCTGCTGCAGTCCAGGGAGCTGCGTGACCAGCAGCCGGAGCCACGCCCTGAGTCCCACTGCAGCCCTGGTTCACCCGGGGACCTGCGCCTCCATCTGGAGGAACACGTGCCTGTAGTTATTGGACTCATGTCTCAGGACTACCTTCAGTACACCGTGCCTTTAGAAGACGGGATGTGCCCTCTGGAAGGGCCGCGCAGCTGCTGCCTGGACACGTCCTCACCCATGGAAGTGTCAGCTGTGCCCCTACCCGGGGCGAGCGCCTTCTCCGAAGACGACAGTCAGGTGGACCAGGACCTGGTTGTAGCCCCAGAGATCCTTGTAGATTCTTCGGTGAACAACTTGTTGATTGCCACCACAGGAGTCATGTTGCAGAGCCCTAGAGCAGGTCATGACGATGCCCCTCCCCTCTCACCATTGCTACCTCCAATGCAGAATAACCCAATCCAAAGGAACTTCAGTGGCCTCTCGGGCCCGGATGTGCACATGGCTGAAAGTGTGCGCTGTCATTTGAATTTTGATCCCAACTCTGCACCTGGGGTTGCCAGAGTTTATGACTCAGTGCAGAGCAGTGGTCCCATGGTTGTGACAAGTCTAACGGAGGAGCTGAAGAAGCTTGCAAAACAGGGGTGGTACTGGGGTCCCATCACCCGCTGGGAGGCAGAGGGGAAACTGGCAAATGTGCCAGATGGTTCTTTTCTTGTTCGGGATAGTTCTGATGACCGTTACCTTTTAAGCCTGAGCTTTCGCTCCCATGGTAAAACACTTCACACTAGAATTGAGCACTCAAATGGTAGGTTCAGCTTCTATGAGCAGCCAGATGTAGAAGGGCATACGTCTATAGTTGACTTAATCGAGCATTCAATCAGGGACTCTGAAAATGGAGCATTTTGTTATTCAAGGTCTCGGTTGCCTGGATCTGCGACTTACCCGGTCAGACTGACTAATCCAGTGTCCCGGTTCATGCAGGTGCGCTCTCTGCAGTACCTGTGCCGCTTTGTTATACGTCAGTACACCAGAATAGACTTGATTCAGAAACTGCCTTTGCCAAACAAAATGAAGGATTATCTGCAGGAGAAGCACTACTGAAAGATGGGGAGCCCTGCTTCTTGCACTTCGGGGTTCAGAAACAAGACTGGAGTACAGTTTACAGACTTACATCGCCATTGAAGTCTTTGCTGCCATAACTATTTTAGTTTTTACGTGTGAAAGAGTCATCAGTTTGTCCAGGGGTGGGGAAGTGTCTGCAAGGTGTCTTGAGTTTATTTTGATTCTTTGGAAAGGGATGTCTTGAGGATCTAGAAGTGTGAGTTATCTTTCTCTAATGTGCAGAATAATCACAATGTGAATGACCAGATTCTCCTTAACCCCCTCCCCCGTCCTTTGCTGCTATCCACTGTGATTCTTATGCATTAAAGCACATTTCATGTGTATTTAACCCTAAGTAAAGTTGAATGAAATGTAAAGAATAAAAATTGTTATGACGTTACCCCAGTTGAATAAATGTGTGGGATAAAACATATCTACAATACACTGAAAAATGATTTCTAAGTCTCACACTTTAAAAAAGGCTTATTCAGAATTGTGAATTGACACAACCGTGTTTAATGGAATGCAAATCTGCAACATATCTGTACAACACTTTTCTAAATTATTTTTTAAGGATGTGATAATTGTTTTGGTTGTGAGAAGTTGAATTTCTTTCTCTTGCCTTCATTTTCATCTTGTGATTTGTCTCTTTTGATAAATGGCCTTACATTAAAAATTGTAAACAAATATATACCCAATTTATAAATTGTTGCCTTTTCTGTCATTAAACTCGGGTACAAATTGGCATAACGTAAAGCCCTGTAAAGCCCAAACCATTGTTACAAAAGTGAGATGACCCTAGTTTCTCGTGAGCAGTGTGTGAGTGTGTGAATGAGAGATTCTTTCATTTAAATATTTTATCTATGATTTCTTTAGTAAATACTTTTTTCCATAAACTTGACAAAACAAGTTTCATAAATGAGTTGTATTTTCTTACATTGAAGTTTATATAAAGTTGTAAATTGATTTGAATAGAAAAGTTATTTTAAAGTTGACTTATCTTTCTTCTATGTAGTCATTACAATGTGCTGGGTTTGACCATTCTGCCCCCAAAACAACAGCCCTGAATGACATCATTTAAATAATTGGAAATTGTGATGTGCGTGAGAAAAACTGAAAAAAAAAATCAGATTTTCAGAGAGTTTCCTGTTGTGATTGTCCTTTGAAGATAGCATTTTGGTATATGCTAATTTTGCTAATTCCTAAGTAACTTGGATTCTCTAGTTGTTTTTTTTTTTTTATCATTGTGTTAAGAAAATGGTGTGCAAGGTTTTAAAACTTATTTTGGAATGTAGTTAAGTTCAGAGTTCTGCAATGGTGTTATTAAAAATATTAAGTGCTAGAATTTAAAGATTGCCCCATTCAGAAGGCATTTGTAGCTATACATGCTTAAAGAAAAATCACAAGGGTAAAGGTCTTAGGTCAAACTTTCTGGCTTTGTCATCCAAACATATCCTTCTCTTTACATTTTTCTCTATTTTTCTAGGGGTAGAATTGAGATATTGCAAGAAAAGGCACCATGCCATTGTGTTACAGTGGTAATGGCATTTTAACTTATAAGGAACAAGGTACTTACTTTTGATGGGATGTTGGTTGGACCTTGTTACAAAGAATTTCATTTTCTAATGTGTTTCATCTAATATGATGGAATATGGAGTATACTGTAATAATACAAGCACTCATTATAAGCTATGTGGAGTAAGAACTATTGCAGAGTCGTAGGCTTGTTATCAAATTAATGCAAGACACTTAGCTATTTTTTTGCAAAACTATTTATTTTTAAACAGCTGAAGATATATCTATGTGAGTTGAAAGTCCCTGCATCTACGTTAGATGGTAGGTATTGTCACATAGTTACTGTATTGATGGTGAATGTCAAGAGGCTTCTTGTCCTCAAGATCATGGCTCATAAAAGTCTCTGGACTGTCCCCAACATGTCTCACATGAACGTAGCTTGTGTCCTACTCTTTCTCACGGTACACCGTGTTAGGGTCTCCCCATTAAATGCCAAGATTATTCTCATGTTCATGGAAGTCTTTCTAATCATCAGTTTTGTGCTACTTTGTAGGGAAATCTTTATCACGAAAAACAACTTTTGATGAACTGTATTTTCATACTTAACAGGACCTGTTGTAATTCAATTTGAAATCAGGTTCTGATAGTTGATGAATAAAAATTGGCATTTGTTGAGAAATTGGATTCACAGAAAGGTGTATTGTCAGTATTTTTGTGTTTTTGTAGCCAAGACATCCATTTGACTGAAGTGGGAAACTGGAACTTTGTTAAAAATGGAAAGAGAAAGACTAAGTCCTTGTCTTGTATCTTGGCTTAGATAGAAGTTGGTTAACTTTCTGGGATTCTTTGATCTTAGACGATATAAACACAGCCGTTAAGCCATTCTTAATCTGCACATTTAAAATTCCTAAGTTAAAGCAAGAAAATAGCAAGCAGGAAAGCTGCATCCATTTGTGACAAGTGAATTGGTTTTTGTTTTGTTTTGTTTTGTTTTTAACTCAAGTATTTCACCACCAAACGTGCTGGAGGCTGGAAGTTACTTGGGAATTCCTAGGACACAACACATTTTTATAAATATGAGAGCTGCAGAAAGTACTTGAAAAATACCTTGTTTTCTCTGAGGAAGACTGTTTTCTTTTTACATGGTGCAATAATTTGAAAACTTATGTCACATATCACAGTAAATAACCACAGAACTAAAAATAATTTTAAGAAAACCAGCTACATAGGGCAACCATCTTACTGTTGAATAAAATCAAGTGCCAAAAAGGCTAGCTCATTGGCATTAAGATAAAACAAAGTATGTGTCATAGTTTCTGAGCCAGTATTACCGAAACAGTATGGAAGTTATTGAAATCTTACAGGTTTATGCAGTTTCTTCCCTAGTGCTAAGTATCTAACTGCTTTCAGGAATACCAACTTTAATTACCGTACATTTCACATTGTATATGAAAGAAACTTATGAATGATTCAAAATAATATATTTTGATTTAAATCTGAATTTCTTTCATTGAATGTGAAGTGTTAATTAGAAAATGGAATGACACTACCAGCAATAGACAGTTTTGTTGAATATTCTTTAATGAAGAACAATAGCCAGTCCCACAAATAACTTTAAAGTTCTAAAGGTATTGGTACGTTAATAATAAAAATATTGGTTTCTTTTAATACTTTTTTAATCCTGTAAAATTTTTATAACATCCTTTTTATTGATTAGTCATAACAAGGCAAATATGTACTTTTGTTTGAAAAGTGATCCAAATTCTCCAACGAGAGAGGGTGAGGAGGTCTTAGAATTTCCAAACAGTCTATTCGTGTTGGGGTAAAGAAGTCTCATAGTTGGTGTGCTGTGAGATTAATACCTGCAATCCAGATTGCTGTAGTTTACACTTTGTACGTTTCAAATCAGGTGTGTACCGTTTGTACTGAGAACACCACAGAATGAACTATCCAAAGTCCATTGATTTAATGTGTTTTGGTTTGTAAGCGAATTATAGTAATTTCTTGCACATTTTTTTTGGAAATCAATTGTATAAAAATTTATGTATCTGCTTCTAGATACAGTGTGTAAATAAAAGTTTGGTTCACAACATATGCCTTGTCATCTGTAACATCCAGGTGCAGGTTCTGCCTTAATTAGCATACGATTAGCTGGAGAGTTTATGCATGGTCCATCAAGTGAGCACTGAAGAGTGGGAACGACGTCTTAGTAGAAAGGGAAACGTGAAGGGTCGTTTAGGATGCCCAACTAGGGGTCAGTTGGTGTTGATAAGCTGCAGTGGAGTGAGTGGAGTGAGTGGAGAAACCAACTAAAAGACTAAATTACAACTAGCAAAGTACTAAAATCTTACTAAAAGGAAGTTAGGCTAAGTGATTATGCTTGTCTAACTATGAAATGTTTGTATTAGGATATTAAAAGGCATCTTATTATTTAATAGTATTTTACCAGAAGAAAAATCTATAAATAAGAAAGGTTTCCAATATTCACTGAATTTCATTGTCTGCTTTGTAAAAATTTGTGCGTGCGCGCCCGCGTGCGTGCATGCACACAAGCTGAGACACAGAAGATGTCATTGGATGTCCTCCATCACTCGCCTATTCTGAAATCAAAATCTTTCCCTGAACTTGGAACTCAAATTTTCTTGGGTACCAGAAGTCAGCAGGCCTCAGGATACTGTCTGTCCCCCCTCGGGTGGGTTTCAATCGTGTGTGGCCCACCCAGCTTGCTAAATGAGTGCTGGGTTCCTAACTCTGGTCCTCATTATGCAGCAACAACCCTTAACCACTGAGCAACTCTCCAACCCAAGTGTCTGCTTTTAATGTTCCTATCTTATTTTTCTCTAATGACAAAATACCCTGACCAAAGTAGTCTGAGGGAGGAAAGGTATTTTTGGCTCACAGTTTAAGGTATAGCCCACATCAGGGAAGTTAAGACAGCAGATGCCCGAAGCAGCTACTTTTCCACTTTGCATTTAGTCTAGAATCCTATCTAGGGAATGGTGGTACCCATATGAGTGGATGTAAGTCGTAAGATAATTTCGCACAGGTTTGCCCAGAAGCTCAGTTTCGCGGTGATTCTAGATTGTTTGGCAGCACTACCACAGTACCTAAACGTTTCGGTTAAATGTTGCTTGAGAATTTCTCCCAACATATTTTAAAGTAAACCCTTAAAAAATATCATAGGTAATTGAAAATGAGTTTTAATTTTACTTGTTGAGAACTACTTTAAGAAATTGATGATAGTAGAACCCAGATAATCAAGTGTTCTAATCAGTTTCCAAAATTTATTCAGTTGATAAGATGGTACTAATGAAAACCTCAGTTATGAGACTAGAGTGAGCAGACCTCAGCCATTGTATGATAGACTAAGAACCTGTCAACATGTGCAGATGGACAGATTTTTTAAAAAGTGACCCAGATGCTGATTCTCTTGAATATAATATGTAAACATTGCATAAAGATACCACTTAATACTCCCCTGTGTCTTATCCTTTTGTGATAACCACTGTTTTGTGATATCACAAAAAACTTCCTTTTGTGATAAAATATTGTGACAAATGCAGTTCAAGGAAGAACGGATGAGTTCTGGCTTGTGTTCCAAAGATACAGTTTGTCATGGTGTCACACAGCAGGAACTTGAAGCAACTGATCACATGAATTCACAGGAAGCAGAGAGCAAGGAATGTTTATGCTCAGCTCATTTTCTTCTTTTTACACAATCTAGAACCAAAGAATGATATGGCCTGCTTTTAGAATGGGTCTTCCCACCTTGATTTGATCAAGATAATCCCTTATAGGCAAGCTCAGAGCTAAGTCATCCCTGGAAGCCTGTTTCCGAGTTTTGTCCTATTGACACTTACCACTAACCATCATACCTTCTTTTCTCAGTCATTATCTTGATAATAACACAGTACTGTGAAGTCAGAATGATTTTCCAAAATCCTCTATGACATCGCTTAAATCATATCAAATCCCAAGATTTAATAAAATCCAAATAACCAGTAGCTTCATGGTTCAACTTAGCTAAGAATAGTTGTTTCATTTAATGCGCTGCAGGGAAGACATCAAAGACAAAACTTAACTTTTTTATTGGCATAAAGACTATTAAAGGAGGTACAGATCTGTAGCCTGCTTCTTGGCTGTCTTATCCAGGGTGTGTTTAGGAGCATGGTGAAA